ACTTTTATAGTCGGGACATCGGAGTCTTCGAAAGGGGTAAGGAAATCACCGTAAACAACAGTGAAATGGGGAAAGAAAGATAGATTCCCCTTTTTTAAAGAAGTGTTTTATTCATTGGAACCGCTTTAGCTGATTTAGGGCATTGTTACATTTCCTCTCGCTGTTTTTCTACACACAGCCCAGGGCTCCTGACATTAGGGAGGCTAAGGAGGAATCTTCAAAGCTGAAGGAACAAGTAAAATTGGCAGAGCTACCTAGATCCAACGGGACAGGCAGTCTTTGCAACAAAGACAGCCAGCCGGCTTGAAGTATTCGTTGTATTGCAGGTCAATAATGGAAAGTGGTCGCCGTGGTGGGATTATATAGGTAATAATTGGGATCGTCACATAATCAAGATTTGAATATGAAAAGCAGCCATACCAAACGGTCTTGCATTTCAAATTAATGCATGGAATGCATTAATGATCCTAGAAAACTCCCCTGGAAAAACTAACACTGAGGCTAAAAAAAAAAAAAAGTGCGTGTGAGAATGGAGATCACTGCGCTGGCCCCGCTTATAGTGAACGCTGGGGTGCAGAGGAGACCAGGCTACAGCGGAACCCCCTGACCAGGCTGCAGCAGAGAAGGATCCGCAGGCCAATTTTGGCGCCTGCGTTGCAGGTGAGACCATAGGCTGGAAGAGCCTTTGCATCAGCTGATTTTTCTCTCTTGCCTTCCCACGCCGTGATCTGACCCCCTTGCAACTCCTCTGATGAAACAGTTCGACTTGACACGACACCCGATACTACAGCCCCGACCGAGCAGTCTGATTGTGAAGACAAACACTGTGTGGAGGGGGGAGAGGGTGTCATTTCCCTGATTCACAGACTCTGGGTTCCTAACGTGAGGGCTCAGGAGGAATCTCCAAAACTAAAGGAACATCTAAGGTTGGCAGCGCTACCTAGATCCAATGGGACAGACCCGATCTTCCCAGCAGGGAGCAGCTTCTGGGAGTGGGGAATTCGCTATCCCAGGAGAGCTTTTTCCTTTAAAATGCAACTTTCCGGGGGCATCCCTGCCGGTAATGACCTGGAGAGGACGGGATCTCCCTGAAGCCCAAGGGGCTGGATTGGGCCCCACAGCGCTAATGAGAATGCCACCTTGAACCACCCAATGACAGGTCCGCTCCGCTTAGCCGGCCACGACGCGCGGCTCGGGCGGGACCTTGCGGATCCCCCTGACGTGGGGAGGGGCAGAAAGTTGGCTGACTTGGTGGAAGCAGACCCGGGTTGGCTAGAAGCCGGAGGTGCCCGAAAGGCGGGAGTCCACCGGCTCTCACGTGGGGCCAGGCTTGGAGGGCGCCAGCGCGTCTGGTCCCTGCCAAGCGGGTGGGTTCCTAGCCAGGAGCGCCCCTCCGCCGGGTCCTGGAACCTGGCTCCACGTGGGGGAGGAGAGAAGGGTGGGTGACTTGACCTGACCAGCCGCAGTGGCGCTGCCCCTCCCCCTCGTTTTCGGAAGAACCGCAGCAGAGGCGGCTCTGGTTTTAATAGAGACCATCGCACCAAGCACCAGGCACTTCTGATCTGCACGAAATAAAGGACACCAAGCGCGGCGCGCGTGGGCTCCCTCTCCCCCACACCCACAGCGGCACGTTTGAGTGAAATGGGCCATCGCTGCCTCTGGGGAGGGGAAGATGGGGCTTCCAGCTCTGAGTGATAATAGTTCAAAAAGGAAGCTCCCCAACCCCCTTTTCGATGTGGTTATCACAGGGCAATGGCAGAGGCGCGCTCTCCTGCTTTTCTTGATTAGCGACCTGAGCAAAACTACAAAGTATTTTTAAAACATGGAAAATCGAAGTTATCTTAAGAGCTCAGTTTTCATCGTGTTAAACATGAGTTTTGGTTCAAATACACAGAGGTGGGAGGAGTGGAAGGGGGTATTAAAAGAAATCGGAAATGAGAAAAAAATTAAAACCAGAGAAGTTTTAGAAACATGACAAATTAGAAAACAGGCACCAGAGCTCTGGCCGTTTTGATGCCAAAGGAGTCCTGGGGCAGCTTCATGAATACGATTCTTTCTCCGTGTAATTATCTCAACGAAAAAGCATGTTTTCTGCGGGGAGAGCAAGACGATGGTAAAGACAGCGGCATCTTTCTAACGCGTGAAATATGACCATGATCCTCGAATTTCCCCGACCTGGGTCTGCTTAAAAAAAGAAGTGTTTGTGGCCGATTGTTTGTGAATGAATTTTGGAAGGTTTTTGAGAGTTCCCAGCTGGCAACAGCTCTCTACCTTCCACAAAACTTGAAAGGCCGATGTCCTTTGCAGGAAATGAATGAGTCGATAACATCTGACACCAGTGACCAGTCCGGTGACCCCAACCTTAATTCCAGTAATACTGGAGGCCTGAAAATCTCAGTAAAGACCACTTGCAAATCTCCCCCCCCCCAATATGCGTAATTTACACAATCAGCATTTATTTTGTAGTGTAGGAAATCCTTTGCAACTATCTCTTATACTTGCATTCAGCTTTCTTTTGCTGTTTTCACACTCCTCCCTTTACTCTGATAAAAAGCATAATACCGCCTTGCTTTTTTTTTAAATCAAACTATCTGGAAACAAAGGACAGTTTCTCCATAAACAAAACAACCTGGGTCAATTTATTTGTGTCTAGTATTAGTAAAACCAAGAGTCTAGTCTCCATAGCATTTTTCAGCCAAATGCCCATAGAGGAGACCAATCTGAGAAAAATACAGACTCTTATAACAGATACTATAAAAAAAAATAAAAAATTGTATCTATAGATGCCTCCTGTTTTTGGTAGACATATCAAATAGTTGATAGATATTTTCATATATACACTACATTCGTTTCACTTTACATATTTTTCTCTCCAGCTGCCCTGCTTTTATTTGTCCATTGATTGTATCAGAATTGAAATTATATATAGTAGTTCACATACATATGGGAAATATTTAGTTTTTAATCTTCCACGTAGATAAAGTGAGGTGAATATTGATTTATCTTAGTAATATAATTGCATTCATTAGGAAGTGGAAACGAAAAAAGGAATGGTTTATTGCACAAATGTGTAAAGGCAGGTCAGTGTAGGAAGTCGACCTCCACTGTTGAAATAACCTAAAGGAAATTTACGGTTGAAGACTGCAAAGGAATTTCAGGATTTAGAGCTTCTGCTCCACTTGCCAGATTGCTTGTATTTTTACACTTTTGCCCATCCCCTTCTCTTTTTACCAAATGTTCAACTGGGCACCTTGTTATTTCAAACAGAAATTAAAGACAAAGGAGAGCGATTTACACACTTTCCTGAAAAGCAACGAAGACGAGTAAACAGGCCTATTAGAGCAAAGAGGTTTTGCTTAATTGGGCAGACTGAAACAGCAAGTACTTTGAAATTTTATAAAACACATTGTATGCTCTGGGCAGATCACAGTTTGTTGTTTTGGCTTTTTATGTATTTATGTTTGTGTGGATGGGATAGGAGGGATAATGCCACTTTAATCAGAAAATGATTCAACCCAGTGTCCTCGGATTTTAACAAGGTATAACCTACCTTTTTAATGTTAGGGGGGCAGAAGTGTCACCAAATCTCAGTTTATGATTGTGTAGTGCCTACCTGTGAACAGGATGTTTACTGACAAGAAAAAATGGGCAACGTGGTTTTATATTTTTCATACCTACCCAAACATATATATTTATGCATGTTCTTCCCCAGGGAGAAAAGGAAGGAAATAGGTACTTTTGATTAGTATTTTTTCTTAACATATTAAAATGTATTCTTTGAAATAGGTGCGACACGAAGTACAGTAGTACAAATAACATGTGTTTTTTCCTACTTGTATACCTGAGAGAGGTCCAATGCCTAGGGAATTCGAGAAGGAACACGTGAAAGCAGTAGGCTATCAAGCCCGTTAGATATTTTTTTATTTTATGTGTTTGACTCTCCCATCCACTAGTAGTGGAGATTTAAAAGTGCAGTCTCCAGCCCACCACTATTCCTCTTCTCTTTGTCTTCTTCCTCCTGTTTTTTTTTTTTCGTTCTTCCTCCTCCCTAGCAAATCCTCCTTTTCTCTTTCAGCCTTTCCTCCTCCTCCTCCTCCTCCTCCTCCTCCACCACCATGCTCCTGGAGAACAATCGCTGCTGATTGAGGTTCACTCTAATGCTAGGCTTGAAAACTGGGCTCTTATTTAGGAAGTCATTAATCACATCCCCTCCCGCGGAAAGAGATGGCGGAGAAACCTGTGAAGTGCAATCCCTCGCCCCATCCCCCTCCAAAAATGTTTTGAAACGCTAAACCTCAACACATTCTGAACCATATTAAGGTGATATCGCGTTTCCGGTACGCGTTTCTTTTGAATATGAAATAGTCATGTGAAACAAAGAGAGGAACACCAGCGATTCTCCATGTATATGTTGACCCCAAGTGTGCATATTTCTGAGTAAAGTACATATAACGTTTTCCTGTCAACCTAAGTAGGTTAAAATAAGGTGATCAGCCTGTTAAATTCCACGAAGCAGTCGAATTTTGGCTAACGTGTCTACACGAAAATAAATACGAGGTTAAAAGGCAAAAATACAGTTATGAGTCAAAGGTGTTTAAATGCCACTTTTATTAAGGAAGTAACAACACTTGCAAATTTGTACATATTTTTTGTACACACGGCAATATGCGTAGTAAGGTGTGTATCTGTACAGAGAGCGCATATGGTTATGCATGCATAACATAGCATATGTGATCCTGTATACATATTTGTGCGTCTATTCACATAATATATCTCCTCCCTATGACTGTACATATATATAGTAATAATCTCAGTTGTATGTCTGGGGTGGGGTGTAACTATGTAGCTATACGTGTATCTCTACACATATGTGTATATACACACGCGCAAAGAAAGCCCCAAAATACGTCATCTTGATTTACCGTGAAGTGTGCAAATTAGCTGTAAGACAAGTTCGTATTTGAATTTTCTTGTTCATTCATAAATTATTTTGGTGTGTCAGCTTAAATTGAAATGGCGATTGGCTACTTCAGACTCTTGCCAACCCCTTAAGGATCCGATGTGAAATTAGTCGCAAGAAAGCATGTAATTGACAAAGTCACGTGTGCGTAGGGGGCCAGAAACTGAGGGAGAGAGAAGGGGAAAAATCAAAAGAGGGAAAGCACATTAGACCATGCGAGCTAAATTTGTGATCGTTCAAAATCAGGATGCTAGATTGATGCAGAAGACCACTTCGATCCAAAGGGAAAGTTTTCATCTCACGAGTTTGGAGCAGAGGGCCCGTGGGGCAACATGGCCGAAGGTTAATTTTCTTATTCTATTGTTTTTCTATGATTTTCTCTCTCTCTCTTCCCCTCCCCTTCCTCCTCTTTTTTAACCCCACTGGGCACCATTCTTCTTTTTTTTTATCAGATCGCGCAAGGGGGCTTTCTACAAACCTATTGTTACGGATTTCCAAAAATGTTCCGTACCGCCCACACCGATTCACACAACTTGAAAAGCGTTCAGGGAGCTATTGTTTGAATTGTTCCTGTACGATTAAGCACAGTTTCAGTGGTGGGATGAGTAAACGTTTGTACACCTGTCCCCCCAACTTTAACTGAAAGTTATTCCAAGGGGTGGGGGGTGGATACACGTTGGAAAATAGTACTGGATCCGCCGCTGCATGTGCAATAACGCGTTGTTGTGCAATCTGCCCCGTTTTTGCTCATTCCCTCTTCACCCCCACCCGCGCTTTGCAAGAAGAGAATAATTTAGCTGAGCATTTCTGTTGGAAAATGGGTTCGGTCCTAAACCAGCAATATTCAAGTAAAGTATCGCGTTCTGTTGTGTAGCATGGCTGAAAGTTGGCGTGAAATGGAAAAATACACGTATATACAGAAACGTGGGCTGTTCTGGGCGAAAGAGAGCGAGCGAGCGAGCATATGCTGGGTTTCCTCTCTGTTACCCTGGCTGCTTTTTGGGTTGTGTGCTTTTTTTTTTAATGGTTTGCTCTGCAGGGAAAGAAAACGGGTTGATTTTGTAATGTGCGGGTGGGGGTGTGTGTGTGTGTTTCTCTTCCCTCTGTAGCAATCCCTTTGTATAAGGCAAAGGACGTTTACCAGAATTTAACTCTTTGCTTTGCATCTTCTGTCTGTGTTTTTCCCCCCTCCTCAGCAGGGGCGAGTAAAGGTGGAGACGAGCCCGGGAAGTTGCCGGAGCAGGAAGAGGAGGAATCCCAGGTTTTGCACGGAACAGGCCATTGCAAGTGGTTCAATGTGCGAATGGGATTCGGGTTCATCTCCATGATCAACCGGGAAGGAAACCCTTTGGAGTCTCCAGTTGATGTTTTTGTACACCAAGTAAGACCAACTTTTGTCTCCCATCTTTTCCACTCTCCCTCCCCCCCCTGGGTTGAGTTCAATGGTGATCGAATTACACTGGAAGGGAAACAATCTATCGTTCTAGATATTTAAATGCATCTGTATATGTGTAATAAAAATTGCTCTAAGAAGGGGTTTTATCTACATCCCCATTAAAACTCAAATAAGATCAGCATCCAAATTGGTGGGTTGTGCAAAAGAATATTTTATCTCTTAACGATGCAAGGCTGGGGTACAAACTTTTCTTTTTGAATTCTTTTTTTAAAAATAATCTCATATCCTGTTTTTAATAAAGTTTAAACTTTTCAGCTATGTCGTCTGCTCAGGAGCAGATAGGTCCTTCCCTGCAAAGGTGATAAAAAGAAATAAACAGAAAAGGATAAATAAATATATTCACCAATTAAGTCTGTTGTGAACATATTTTTCTTTTAGCACTTTTCTTGTAAAGTTATACATTTTTTAAAAGTAGTTAATCCCAGATTAGTTGGTGAAAAGTAAATGTAATAATAGGTTTATTTTGCAAAATACAGACATGAAAACATCCCTGTGATAATACATGACTCATCAAACTCAAAGTGTGTGTGTGTGTGTGTGTGTGTGTGTGTGTGTGTGTGTGTGTGTGTGTGTGTGTAGTT